TAACTTTAACCTCCTTGATTAGTTTTGGGGTTAGGAAACCCTTGCGAATAACCTTCCTCATCCCTAGGTTAGAGTAACTATTTTCTAGTTTAACCATCCTTACGAGCCTCCTTAGCCAATCCACACTTGCCTTTCCGCTCTTTCTCCGGAAGATCCATTAGCGACAAGTTTTTGCTTTTTAGATGTTTGGTGTTTGGTTTTACATTACACAATCCTTATTATGAAGAGGTGCATCAATTTAAACAAAGACAACTTTACATAAGAGTTATACCTGTTCGCCAATGAGTGCCTAAGCTAAATAGATATCAAGAGTAAAATTGTCAAGCACTGAAAATTTTATTCACAAGTGTCCTGTCAGAGACAAACACCCTTGCAGGATTTCATCGTCCATATTAGGTATTTACAATGCAGATCATGAAAACGTGGTCTAGCAATCTTCAAATGCTACAATTTCACCTCTCTACAACTATAAGAGCTCGTTTGGCAACAGGCCGGTTTAGCCAAAAAGCTAAAAAGTTACTAAAAAAGTCAAAAAAGCCAACAACTCATACTAAAAAGTTAAAGATTCTTTTTTCTCTCTACTTTTTGCACATTTTTTCGTAAAAAGTCAAAAAGTCATCCCAAACATGCTAGTTTTTTTTAGCTCATATTTTAGTCAAAAAGTTACTAAATTAGCTTGTTCCCAAACGAGGCCTGAGTCAATAGAGTTAAATGAGTTAAATAAGACACCCCTTATATTACCTTTTTTTAAATAGGTGAAGATACCCACTGTATTTCATAATCATTTTGACCCAGTGCCAAGAGATTTATGTTTTTAAAAGATAAACAATTGGTTAAGGTGCCATATTAGACATAGTCGTTGAACCCTGAGCAATAGTACAAACATTTATGACAGCACACCATACTCAATTAAGAATTTCCTTCCATATAATCCAAAGGCGATACTATTGAATCAGAAGTTTGCTGAGAGATTGAAAAGGTAAATTACTTTCAAATCTGGAAGATATAAACAATTATGACCTACCTCGGAAGATATGCCTAAACTTCCACTCAACGTCGTGGAGATCCCTTGCAATAAGCTCTTGACAAGGTGGCTGCTGAGAGAAATCCTGATGGACCCAAGAAAAATACACATTAGCTTAACATTGAAATCAGAAAAAGAAAAGCATGGGAAGGAGATTACCAGTGGAGGGAAAACTTTCTCTGCAGCACGACGGGGAACAGAGAACCCCCCGTGAGTACTAGTATCACTCGCTGTTAATGTCTTGCAGAAATAATTGGTTGGCTGCTTGCTTGGAATCCCCAATTCAACAGGAATATATGTATCCTTCTGCTCTTGCTACGTTAGTACCACAAAAGATTACTTTTGCCACTAGATTGACACGAAATTGAAAAGGCATCATATAATTTGTTAAATGCAGTTTTAAAATATAACTTAAGACTACCGGCGTCAATGGCTGCAAGGTCATTTGAGCATATACTTCATCTGTTTCAACGTCTGCCTGAAATACCATAAATAAGATATTATCTCTTAAACCCCTACGTGACATACAATGATACACACAACTAGAGATATCCAGAGAAGCAAAAAGAGTATGTGCATAAAGAATAGAACCCACGTGCATTGTAACATTGTGGAGTTGACAGATTAACTGAGGCGGCAAGCTTGGGTAATTGGGTATGTGGGCATCAACTTCTTTGTTAGTTGTCGCCGCAACCTGAGTTGCAATTATAATTGGCGTTATTACGAATGCTTGAAGTATGTTTTTCTCGTAACAAAAGCATATATTGAATTATATCAAAAGAAATAAAGAGTGACTGAACAAAAGACCTGCTCACTATGACCCTGAGGGAAGTAAACCACACGACTCCCGACCGTTGGCAGGGACACGAGAGGGCCAGCGCATGCATGCCATAGCTCCGAATTCAAACACTTATTCTCCCCTTTCACAGGCCAATAAAAATTACCCCAAATGTTGACTACTTTACTTCTCAATATTGATTAAAAATGCAGTAAGAAAAAGGAAATATTTCAAGACATGCCAAACAAACTATCAACAACCCAAAAAAACGAAGGAAAAAAAAAAACTGAAAAAGACACATACATGAGCAAGTTAAAAAGTCTAAAAAACAGAGAAGGCAACGAATGAGAGAAGAGAAAAAGATACCTTCATGAGCCTGCTGACTCAGTCCTGATGTTGAAAGCTTCATGTTTCTTAAAAGTTCGTATAAATACTAGCCTAAACCCTTAAAACTATACCCAAAAAAAAAAAAAATTCAGCTTATTAAAAAGCCTTCTGCAATAGCTGTCATAATCTTGAGCCCTAAACTGCTGTCCCAGTGCACCTTTTTAGTCTTCAACAAACTCCTCTCCTCAATCATGGCTCCACGCTCCATAATTTCTTCCCCCCCCCCTCCCCTCTCTCTCTCTCCCTCTCTCTCTCTCTCTAAGCCCAGAAATTCACACCATACTCAAAATACACCAACAAACCAAGCCCTAAAATTTCACAAAACCACAGTAGACTCCCAATTGCAACTGCTCATCAACAAACAACAAAGTTAGACACTTAACTTTTAGTTCACAAAATCGAAACCCTAAGCTGAGAGGTCGCGTTATTCGAGACCGCCATGAATGAGCTCTTCATTTTTCTCTGCAACCTGGAACCAAATCCAAGTCGCCCCACGCACAGTAGATCTTTTCGTGGCCAATCGCTGTCGAAAGCGATGAGAGAGAAAGTGTTTTATAAAGAAAGACCGAGCTCAGACCTGGTAGCAGTAGAAAGAGAAGATGAGAGAGAGATGAATGGGCTCAATTCAATCTTTCTCATTCTCTCTCTCTCTATCAGTATCATCATCAGAGGCAATGTTTTGGGGAAATTACAATCGGGGGCGTCCGGAGATTCGTACCTGGGAATCCTGACCGTCCATTTTGGACTGATATGACAGCAGGCATGTGCCACCATCCTTCAGTGGTCGTTGTCAGAGTACGGAGCTTGGGATATTTAAATATACTTTTATTTATTTATTACAATTTATACATACATGGGAGAGTGAGAGATACGGAGGGAAAGATTTTGTAATAATTTGTTATAATTTTATTTTATTTGCAAGCTTTTTGGTCTATTGGGCCTTTTTTTTCTTTCCCTCTGGTAACTTTGGTGCTGTTCTTTTTACAACAATTTTGATGGTCCATGCGTCTTCTACTGATGATGATGATGATGATGATGATGATGATGATGGGGGAACCAGTTTGTCAAACTGTATCTTAAACTGGGACTTCATGAAATTGACATATACCCCCATTTTGGGAAGTGAAAAAAAAAATTAGGTTCGTTTGGTTTAATTTTTGAGTTAGATTGGGTCGAGTTTTAAAATTATAATTTGAGAATAAAATATATTTTGAATTTGTAAGTTTTAAAATTATGATTTGATTGTGAAAATAGTGCTGCTATTAGTATTTGGCAAAATTTTTTGGACCCCTCATTTTATAATTTTTTTTATTACATTCATACCTTAAAGTAAAATTATATTAAAAGACATTATTAAATGGAACATCCACATATCAATAAGAACTAATACTCTATAATATTTGACATCCACTCCCAACCCCACCTCTACCTCCACCTCTACCTCCACCTCCAACTCTAACTCCAACTCTAACTATACGTGTTCTATGTTTGTAAACTCTAAACCTATTACTTTTCATAACCAACTAATATAAACCCTAAATCTATTATTTTTCATAATCATCTTAAATCTTGAATGTGTCATCTTCAGGGTTGGTTTGGGATGTTCTAAAAAAGTGCACTTTTTGACTTATTAGCTTATATGGGTTGGGTTTGGGTTGGGTTTGATATGATGTGTTAGAGAAGTGATGTGATTTAAATAAGATAGTGACTTTTTGACTTTTTATATTATTTAGTAGATGCCAAACTTGGCCTCAGTACCATCATCAACGCTATTGAACTTGAAAGTTTTGCTTCAAGTATAATGTATACTTCATCACTTATTTCACTGTGTAGAGCAATGGAGGACGAGGGCAACAATTCTTGTGAGACCGGTGTTCCATTAATAAGTTTATCGGTCTTGTATTAACATTCTCGGTCGTTTTCGATCATTCTTGTTTCGTTCAAGCTGTTCAGTACTGGTTTGCTGACTGTTAGAATTATGTTCAGTAATTATGGCCAAGTTTGGCATCTACTAAATAATACAAAAAGTCAAAAAGTCACTATCCTATTTAAGTCACATCATCTTATTTAAATCACATCACCTCTCTAACACATCACATCAAACCCAACCCAAACCCAACACATATAAGTCAATAAGTCAAAAAGTACACTTTTTTATAACATCCCAAACCAACCCTATATTCGGTAATACAGTACTGAACATAATCCTTTCGTTCAATACATAGGTTCCGAACATTAATACAGATAGTCAGTTATGTAATTTTCTTTGTTAAACTAACTTAGAATGGAAAAGAGTAAATTGGAATGGATTTAAGTTATGTATTTTGAATGGATTTAATTCATGTTATTTTAAGTTGTAAATTGGAATGGATTCAAGTAACATAGTGATGAACAAATTTTGTTCAGACATACAGTGCTGACAGGATCATTATTGTTCGACAAAATAGTTCTGAACAAAATACATTTTTTCGGCTACACAGTGGTGAACAAATTGTTTTGGGCTATATTCAGAATTCTTATGGCGATTCAGACGATGATTATGTTTTTCCTCATCTTGCAAACAGTTATGCAAATCCCGTAAAAATTGGACTATCTTCGATCGATCTCAGCGTTGACGAAGATACAAAAAGCAACGAAGAAGATAATGATGAGAGGATGAGAGAGGCTACTGATTCGGCGATACGGAGAACGTTCAAAGAAGATGAGAGTCGTCGGAATGCTTCGTTGGCGGTTCAGACGGCGACGAGAGTAATGGAGGGTTGGAGTCCAAGAATTCTATACTGGACCAAAGCTCCAAACTCTAAAGATTGAGTGAGTCAGGGAAGGAGATGGGTGAAAAATTAGGTGGGTATGCATTTCATTGTGAAAATATCATGAGTACGGATAGATTTGGTAATAAGTGAGGTGTCCAAAAAATATTATTAAAATTTAGGGTTTAGGGTTGGGGTCCAAAGAATTTTGGTAGGTGCTAATAGCAGCACTCTTATGAAAAATTTGTTTGGTTATGAGTTTTGAAAAGAATTTGAATTGAGTAATGTGACATATAACATTAAAAAGTGGGTGTTTTGAAAAGTGGGTGTGGAATTAATTTTCTAAAACTGTAACCAAACAACACACTCAAACTAAGGAGTAGAATTAAACTTCAAACGCTCTACCAAACAGAGCCTTAAATTTCATTTTATTTTTATGTTTGAGTTATATTTTTAAAGATAAGTTATTGAAAAAAGTTTTAAAAATTAAAAAATTATTTGATTATGAGTTTTGAAAATAATTTTGAAATAATTTGTATTTTTTTTTTTGTAGTTGAATAGATAGGTGTGAGAAAATTTGATTGATGTATAGAATGTAAGAGAACGAGAGAAAAGAAAAAAAAATCAATGTGTGCTTGGTTTCAGTTTTCTGGAAATTGAATTTTTTTTTCTGTGCTTTTTTTTATTTTTAGTGAATAGTTTTTAAAATTTGAAGCAATTTTTTTTACTTCTTTAGATGCACCTTACATAGATGTATCTAAATAATAAAATATTTATGAAAAAATATTTTTAAAAAATTTAAAATACGAGAAAATGTGAAAAATGCATATTTTTTTATATTTTTGGTATTTAGTGAATTTTTTAAATATTTTTTCACAAATATTATATTTTTTAGTGTATTTATGTTAGAGGTGTGTCTAAAAATTTAAAAATTGTTTAAAATATTAAAAAAAATTAGTGAAAACAAAAAAATATGAAAAATAAATAAAATTTTTTAAAAAGTGAATTCTAAAAACTGAAACCAAACAGTTTTGAAAAGAAATTTGAAAATTGATAATTCAAACATGTTTTTTTGATTTTTTAATATAAATTTTAATTTAAAAACTAAATCAAATGGTACCCTAATTATTTAGGTTTTTTTTTTTTTTTTTTTTTTTATTTTTTTTTTTGAAAAAGTATGCAAAATGATAGAAAAGTGATATGAACTGAATAAACCAATAAATTGACTTTTTTCCTAATTAACAAAACAGGCCATAGTGTGAAAACTCATAAAATAGCTTCTTTTTTATTAAAAAAAAAAAAGTTTTAATGGTTGAAAATATTTGTACTATGGCAAATTTACCATTGTGTTTGGTTATATTCTCCAAATATATTTCTATTCTATGTTTTGAGTGTGTTATTTATTTAGAGTTTTCAAAAATTAATTCCACACTCACTTTTCAAAACTCTGTCCAAAGCGGAAAAATTTAGATTAACCGGTCGTCTTCCCAGACATTTGGCAAGTTGACTGAAACAGTACAATTTTTTTTTTTACAATTGACACCTGTTATTTTTTATATTTTAAATAAAAGAAATTCGGAATTTTTTTAAAAGATTTATGTATTTTGAATAGAATTTTAAGTTTTGTGTTTAGTTATAAATTGTAAATTTTTTATATCAAATATTGTATATCACATTAAAAATTTTCCACTCAAATATTTGTAATATGGCAAATTTACAATTCACTCTCTTTATTCTTTTCTCTTTCCGACTAACCATCCCCCGTTCTTCTTCGTTGTTGTCGTCCTTCATCCACCTTGTTCCGGTCTCCCTGACACCTACCTCATCAATTGTACTGGCATAACTCATTGAACATATTTCTAGTGGAGGAGAAGGCGATGATGATTTTAAGTTTGAGAAATATGGGTAGTGTATGGTTTAGTTTTAGAATTATAATTTAAAAATAAAGTTATATTTTGAGTTTGTTAGTTTTTAAATTATAATTGTAGACACCCCATTTTTTACCGTCCTTAAGACTTGAGCATTACTGATAGTTTATTTGGTGGTGAAAGATGTGCAGGGCAAAGGTTCGATTTCTTCAGCAAGAGGTGAGTCAAATGCTAACCTCACACCCCATTTTAGACCAAAGTTATTTTGGATGGTTTTTAGATCTTAAAATCCTCTCTTTCAAAATATTTTTGAAATAAAGTTCCTACGATATTCCGAGGCTCTTATTTCGTTAAATGTTGCGCTTTTTGGTAAACCGAGCGAGGACAAAGTGAAAATGAATAAAAGAGAGATGAAATCTTTGAAAAATCTTTCAAAACACCTTGTTTAGGGATTTGAAGTTAAAGAAAATTAGAGGAGAGGGAAGAAACCAAGTTGAAGAAGAATGTGGGTATGAATCGCTAAGAGAGAGTCGAGTGGTCCTCGCTAAATCAAGCCTATCTGTCTATACACTTGGATTTAAGCTATGAGGCCACCACTGTTGAAAATAAGACTTCTGGGGCTTCATTTTTCACTCAAGAATCTCCTAAAGCCGAGTCCGGATGAGGGAGATATGGTTGGTTGAAGTTCGGCATGAATTCGGGTACGACCAAAACTGAGCAGTTTCACCAAAACAATCATAACTTTTTTCACAGTTGGAATTTTGATACAACGATACCACCATTAGAAAGCTTACTTATGGGGCTTCAATTTGGACACAATAATTACCTGAAAAGGAGTCCATATGAAGAAGTTATGCCCATTTGAAGTTAGACTTGCAGAGCAGAATGTCCTATTGGCCACAAATGTGCACAGTCGGCCAAAAAAGTAGCAGATCGGCCATCACAAGTAGTAGATCAGCACCAAAGATGGCCGGTTGGCCAAGAGTGACCCAAATTCAGAATTTTTGAAGATATTTCTCCTCCAGCTGTTTCCAGCTTGCTCCAGCTGTCCCAAATCAGATATTTTCGACCAAAACTCTTGCTTTTGCTATATATGAAGATATATCTCCCATTTTGCAAGGGACAACCTTCTTGAGCAAGTCTGAGAGATTCTCTCACTAAACTTCCTCTCTCTCTACAATTTTCAGAGCTTAATCTCTGCCTCTCTCTCTAAAGCCTCTCTCTCTTGCCCTTTTGTGCATAGAAGTAGAGAAACATGCCTAGTTTGCCTATACATCCTTGATTAAAGTGGCCTATCTTTGGGAGGAGGTTGCTTGAACCTTACTTGGAACTTGTTTTCGGCTGCTAAAGCTTGGTTTTAACTTCGAAATCTTGCTGTTTGGCTTCAAGGGTAAGTACTTGTCCCTAGGGCTGCAAATGAACCGAGCTGTTCATAAACAAGCTCGGCTCGGCTCTGTCAATAAGCGAATGGATGTAGAGGTGAGCGCAGAAAGTATATAAGCATGACTGCAGAATTATCTCGGCCTCCTTCGACCGAGCTACTTAACGAGCCCAACAGTCACTCGCCGAGCTCCATCACAACCGAGCTCAGTAGCATTCCAGTACGGCCGAGCTCCAAACAAGTTAGGCTGGTCCGAGGGAGACCGATCTCAACGAGCAAACAACGGGAACCGGGCTAGCAGAGAAGTTATCCCGGCCAAATCGGACCTAGGCTTTAACCGAGAACACTGCACTTGGATTGGCCTAGCTCGGCCCAAACATGCTCGGACCAATTTTAGCCCGGTCATTACCACGGCCCAAAGCCAAATTATCAAATCTCCCTCACAATTGCCCATTAATTCTGTTCGTATTTGCGTGACCGGAATTACATTACAAGGCCGGGGTAGACTTTTTGCTCGGTGGTTCACTTTGCTCAGTCTAGAAACCTCAAAGTTGGCAAACAAAGTCAGCTCGTCAACTCGCTTCTTGGCGAATAAAATCAGCTCAGCAACTTCTTGAGCGAGCAAAATCAACTTAGCAAGGACCTTCAAAGTTAGCGAGGAAAGCCAGCTCAGCAACTTGATTCTTGGCTATCAAGATCAGCTCAGCAAGTAACTCCAAGGTCAGCGAACAAGGTCAGCTCGACGACTTTCTTCATGATGAGCAAGATCAGCTTGGCAAGGAACTCCAAGGTCGACGAGCAAGGTCAGCTCGACGACTTTCTTCTTGGCGAGCAAGATCAGCTCGGCAAGGAACTCCAAGGGCGGCAAGTAAGGTCCGCTCTGCGACTTGCTTCTAAGCGAGCAAGATCAGCTCAGCAAGGAACTCCAAGGTCGGCGGACAAGGTCCGCTCCGCGACTTGCTTCTTGGCGAGCAAGATTAGCTCGATAAGGAACTCCGTGGTCGACGAGCACGGTCCGCTCTACGACTTGCTTCTTGGCGAGCAAGATCAGCTCGGCAAGGAACTCCAAGGTTGGCATTTGTCCCTCTAAAGCTTTGTTTTGCATGCTTGTTTTACCACATTTGCAAACTGTTTTTGGCTTGGTTTTGAACTGAAGAAAACTCTATTTTTCAGTCCTAAAAATGATGGTTTAGGCCTATTTTGTGTTAAGGGGTTGTCTCCCCCTTTTGTTCCTTAGCTTGTTTAGCTTTTGAGCCATCTTCGAAGGCCTTTCAAAACAACTTTTCGTGGCCTTTTTACCACTAAAATCTAGTGGATTTTCAGTGGTAAAAACCCTGTTTTGAGGTCCTAAATAGGATAGAGTGGCCCCCTCTCCTCTTGTCTTGTTTGCTTGTGTTGATGGCCAACCAAATGAGCATGTGTTTTTACTTCTTTGTGGCTTTGTTTAGGCTCATTTTTGTGACTTTTCAGACCTGCTATAACTCTGTTTTTGGCTGTCTTGGTCACCTCTTGCATGCTTATTGCACTTGTAGTGTAAATCCTCTTTGGTAGCCTTACATGCTTGATGTTGTAGCCTATTATTTTAGCATGTATTGGCTCCATTCCAACACATTTTTTATAATGCTTTGCCATGCTAAAGCTCTGTTTTAAGTTGTTTTGGTCATGCATGCCTTGCTTTGTATAGCCATAGTGCATTCTTACTCACTAACTTTGAGTTTTCAAGTCACTAGCATGCATTACTTGGGCTATTTGCATGATCTAGCATCATTTTGTATGAGATTCCAGAGCATGTTTCATAGTAATACACTCGCA